GGGCAGAATCCCCTCCCTGACCTGCTGTTCACACCTTGGGGATCAGCCCAGCACATGGCAGGGTTCTGGGCTCAAGCACGCTGAAGCTGGGTCATGCGGATCTTCTCATCAACCATCAGCTCCAAGTCCTCCTCCTTAGGGCTGCTCTCAATCCTGTCTCCTCCCAAGATCTGGAGATCTTCCTTTCCTCACCACTAGTGCTGGTGTAGGAATGGGCAGAGTGCAGCAGTGACATGTGCTGGTCCCCAGGGATGGACAGCCCAAGTAGGACAGAGCAGAGGGGAGCTGAGCACTCCCCACCACCAGCAGACAGAGAAAATGTCAATAACGAACCTTCTTTGATTCAATTTTAATTTTTGGTTTCTCCTTGCAACCTCTGAGGTCTCCATGGCCCTTCAGCATTGAGAGCGTCAGACCCTGCTCTTGGAGTCACCCAGTGACATCCCAGCACTTGATAGCATCAGTGCTGACACCATCAAGGGCATGGCTGGCTTCAGTTGCATGGCACAGGGGATTTTTACACCTTTTGGAGATATTTTATAGGGGAGGGTGGTGGGTGCTGCCTTGTCTGGGTGCAGGTCAAAGAGTCACTCGTGTTGGCAGGGGTCTGTCTCCAGGGATGGTGGGGAACCCAAACCCTTCTGGGTGTGTATCTGATTGCCGCCAGTTTGGCTCCTCTAGATAGGATTGCACCCATATATGTGTCCTTCTGAACATCATACCCCTTGCAACGTATACACAAATGTGTGTGTGTATATATATAATTTATATAAGTTTTATATGTACATACACATTCCATCTATATGTTGAAAGGAACATGTATATATTGCAGGGATGGCAGAGGCTGCTCTACCTCAGCCAGGAATCATGTAGGTCTATTACTGTTTAAATATATATGTAATATTTTTATAGAGATTATATAATTCAATATAAAACATTGCTCAACCGTTTTCCCAGGCAGGGAGTAGTCATTTTTTCCCCCAGATAATTTAAATATTTCCGTTTTCACAGATTTCCCCAAATGTTTAGGTTTCCTTATGTCTCTCAGCTTTGGTTTTCAGCAGATCTCGGTTGCTGACATTTAATGACTTGTCTCGCTGAGTTTGGGGATGAATTGCTTCATTTAATGAATGCAGAGGCAAATAAGGCAATTTTTAGCCCCAGGTTAGAGTAT